GCACAAAATTATTTTAAAAATTTTTTTCAAAAATATTCACAAAATAATAATACTAATATATATATATATATATATATATGTAAAGGATGCATCAATTTATTGGTATTTACCATTAACATCAAATAATTAGCAGTTGTAAGATTTTTTAAATGTGAAAAATTTAAATGTCTGATAAAATTAATGATAACTAATATCTTAAAATGTGATATTTAGTTAAATTATTTTAATTATATATTAAAGTTAATAAAATATTGAAATTTTTACATTGAAACTCAAATATCACCAAAACCAGTGGCATTGGTTAATGGCTTTGTGATGATATATTAAAATTTAGATAATTTTGATTCTGTGTTAGTATAAAATTTATCAAATATTTACAGAAAATAATTTAACAAATAATATTTTCATGCTTAATTTATCATATAGTTACTGCTACATCTACTTATGTAATTTGTGATTTTTAATCCATAAGAAAGGATGGATAGTGTTTGTTAATATTGTTATAATATTAACTGTATTTTTTATTATTGTTGTTTAATTTAAAAACAGTTAATTTTCTGATTTAAATAGATAACTCTAAATCAAAGTTACAAAATCTGCAATAAGACAATTCCAACAAACAAGGAGGTGAGATGATATTTTAATGTTTCAACTATTGATTATTTGGATTATTTAATCAATTAATGGCTTATTTACATTTAAGGAGACTGAATAACTATGTAGTAATTTTTAAATTTAATAAAAAATAAATTACTTTATGACAAATAAATTTAAGAGAGAGCAGATTGAAAACTGTTCTTTTTTGAAATATTTAATTAGATTCATTATGAAATAAACAAACAAAAAACAATCTTAACTTTGATTTAACTAAAGCCATAGTGCTTCAAAATTGGTAGGTTTTATAACCATGCTGTGTTAAACTGATTAAAATAATTTACAAATAAATTGCCATGAATAGTAAATGGTGTTACATCTCATGATGGTTTTAACATTTAATATCTCATTTTAACTATTGTCAAAAATATTATTTATTGGTCATCTTTTTGATGGCTGGAAGTAATTACCATACATGTTTTATTGTTGACTTCAAAATTTATGACAAAATTATGTTTTTATTAAATGAACTTTATTATTACTTTAACCCAGGGGTGAACAAACTTTTTCCTTGGGGACCTCATTGGACACCTGTAGTCTCCAGCATGCTGCAAGTGAGAAAAATCTAAATTGATAAGACAATAAACTTTATTTTCATATAAATACACATTTTGTAATTATATAAGTATATAAATTTGGCACACAATAGAAAGTAGAAAATAAAAAGTAGCATGTTATTTATTCATGTTACTTCTTAGCCTAAATTTTACTTAGCTACTCAGACTATTAGTTGCTGTTATGCCATTGTTAATGGGAACTAAGCAATTGTTACAATTCTGCTGTAGTTTGTTGTAGTTAGGATTCAGACTGCTTATACTAATCACAAGATACTGTGAATTTGAATCTGTCAAGACACATTTTATTTGAGATTTTAATATTTAGGCATGAGAAAGTCTGTTCACAAACATAGATAGAAGCAAAGAACACAAATATTTTTGTAGTAAACATTTTCAAATGACCAAACTTTTCTGTACTAAGTGAAGCATAAAATTCAGTTAGTTTCATACTCTTAAAATTATCCTTCAGTACATTGTCTGCTTGAAGATAGTTAATTTGAACTGCTGATCAGGGTTTCTCAAACGGGATCCCGGTTTCTTTTTAACCTGGGAAATTTTTTTCAACCCAGGAAATCCCAGAAATTTCTTAAAAGTTCATTTTTTTCTTATTTCGTGTTAAGGTTGAGGAAATTTTGCAAATAGAAAGTATAATTAACTCATAAATGGTCAGAATACATTTGTATTTATTAATTTTAAACCTACTTATTAGTTTTAAATTTTTGCTTGTTATGGCATGTCACAAATAGTCAATAATCAATATGTACTTTATTTGTGGCAGGACTCAGAAAATTCTTTACTTGTCAGAAACTGTAATATCTGGAATAATTGTGCTGAGGCTGTCTTACTTTTTAACCATGCCCGGTAGCTTCAATAACTGCATAATGCCAGGTTGTGCAAACTGGGCAAGGATACAAGTCACTTAGATTTTACAAATACGTGAGCCGTTCACAGCCCAGCACATGTATTTATGAAATCTAAGTGACTTGTGCAACATGGAATTCATATAAAACGGAAAAATCAAGTGTTATAGGGGGGTCGACTGTATGAAGTTTTTCTTCATAAATCTGGTTATTAAAGACAAACGAACTGCCAATTTATCAGGCTGTAAGCTTGATGTTTCTATTAAAGCAGCTAAGATAGACAAATCAAGAATACTAGAGAGCAAAAGAAGTACAGTGGTTAACGAACAGTTCAGATAGCGAACAAATCGGATAACAAACACTTTCACGAAAGATTTTTATGATTGGACAACGAACACCTGTTTGGTTAATGAACACTTTACTGAACAAACATAAAAAGAAGTGATGGAAAATAACAAATACCGATTGATTTTCCCTTGTCTTCAGATAACAATTCGAAACCTTTCAGAGCGCGGGAAACATCATCATTGATGCTCAACACAATACCAAACGGATAGTATTCCTCCAAGTTTTGAAACTCTCCCTTGTAATTCCAGCTTTTTGTTTACCTTTCTGACAAATAATTTTTTATAATATTCGCGAGACTGTCAGACGGGCACTTGTTAAGTTTTGCCTTGGGGTTTATTTACAAAAGGGGAAAGTTTAACTGTCCCATCGGATTATTCATTAATGTTTTAATACCAAATTTCGAATTTCATCCGGGCCTTGCATTAAAATAATTTTTTGTGGGCTAGTTGATTTCTGTTCTCTGAATTTTTGTAAGTGCTTTTCTGAACTTTTTATTAAAAAAAAAAACTGATAATATTATGGAGCCTAAAAAGAGGAGTGTCAAGAACTTTGCTCACCATAGAAACCAAGTAAGAGATAATAGCCAAGGTAGAAAGTGGGCACAAAATGTCTATTGCTAGGCAGTATGGCTGGAACAAATCTACAGCAGGCACAATCTTAACTATGAAAGATATATAAAGAAGTCTCAAGCTGCTAATGGAGTAATGAAAATCACGTCTGAGAAATAAAGAGCATTTTAGAGTTCATAATGGAACCTGAAACTGATCTGACGACAGAAGAACTCCAAGAACTCTCAAATGAAGAATACCAAGAAACATCAGCGAGATGTGTTTTCTTTTGGAAAAGAAGAAGACAAAAGAGGACCAATGTCGATGTGAGAATACGTCCGAGGGGACTGAGCCCTCTAATCGTTGAGTTGGTAAAACTTGCCCACTTTATCTTTGGGATGGCTTTTTTTCGAGTGGCAAGGGAGGTGAGCAAGTTGGCAGGCGTCTTTTCAAAGACAGGAGACAGAGTTTTTACAGATAACAAGAAGAATTTATTATATAACTAAACCTATGATACATAAAACTAAGCCTAAGATTAGATGCGGTTAAATGAGGTTACATATACACTCTTCTGGAAGGGTTAAAAACATGACATTCATTGTCAGTTTTTATTTTTTTTTAACAGTAGCACTCATTGTTAGGGATAGGTCACAAAATTTGAAGTTTAGAACAATGCTTACATGACCTGCAAACTATTGCAATTAATTATCAAAGTGATTCAAACACAAATGCAAAAAAAATGTATATATGTTTACTTGTGGATTGCAAAGTGTCTTTGGTTAGCTTTGTATGATTGAAACATCAATGAACAGTACACCAGGGCAGCACTGGGACTGCAAGTGCTATCAATCAGTTTAACTCCAATTGACTAATAGCATTCACAATTACAGTCCAGACCTAGGTGTGCACATAGTTATGTATGAGGTTGCTCATTTTTTCAAATGTTCCAAAACATG